GATAAATTCAAGACAACTCTCTTGATCCAAAAATTTTCAAATTGATTATTTATGAAGCAAGTTTAGTGAACGTTATCAAGGCAGAACTACTTTGTCCAAGCCACAAACACATTACGATATTCAAGCAATTCAGTTTCGAAAGTATGTTTCAGAAAGGAGGCGTGACTGGCCCACTACAACAATAGGCGTGGCTTATGGCAAAAAGCAATGTAAGCTTGAGGAATATTTAGATATTATTAGGGGAGAAAATCATTTAATCTTATATATAAAGCTGAATGTCTGTATGTATGTCTGTCTGTACGTATGTGCGGAATAGAAATTTTTATTTCTGAACCGATTTGGACCAAACTTGGCACACATATACTTCGAGGCAGGGAGCGTGTCATAGGCTACTTTTCGTTATCGATCGATATCGATTTTATCGATTTTTTGCAAAATTTGAGCTACGGGGCTGGGAGTTGGCACAGGGGGGTAATCGAGCATGCTGATTACGAATATAATAATGACAGGGCCGGGCGGAGCCGGGTTTGCCAGCTAGTGAAATAAATTAATCAATTGAAATTCTATCTCTGTCTTTAAAGTGAGGAAGAAAAGTTCTTAAAATTTCCTAACAAATATAAACTTGTCAAGAACAAAAGAAATACGCTACCGATTACTGGATTGTCTACAAACAGGGCTTGGATAATTTGTACACATACTCCAGCATTTTTCGATGGTTTCATAGGCTCAGTAACGAAAAAATTCGAGAATAATCTGCAATTAGCAACACTTCTCTGCAAAAGTTTTTCCAATCTCGAAAAAGTCGCACATTCCAGACACACTCGAAAAATGAAGTTATTACACAGAAAAGGGGCAAAAAACGAGCTCGGTTCGCTCGTTAGTGAATAGCTCAGCAGGGCTATTTCGGCATTCAGCTGTCACAAATATCATTTTTCATCAATGTGTTGATTTGCTGCATTGCGAAACAGGCTTTTTATAAATTGAACACGTTTGTAATGTGATGGGAGGGAATGTTATTGGGGAGAAGTGCAAATATCGATACAAACCCACGATATATCGCATATAAAATGCAAATTTGTCGACGGAATTAGTCACTTGCACAAAAAATCAGCTTGAGGAGATGAAATCACTTGAATTATGCGTTATAAAAGGAAAGTGAAAGTTTTGAATTCCGAACGTTGATCGCCCTAATCAGTGATTTTGAACGGATGATCGGCGCTTTTCAACGCATATAAATCTTCCGCTGCGCTAGTGAAATCGGTCATTCATCACGGTGGCAGCTAGTCCGAAACGAAACGAATACGAACATTGTACTGATGGAACAATACGTATAGCTCCAACAAAGAGATGTACATGGATTTTAAGGCGCGGGGACTGAAATGATGGATAATCTGAGAAAGCACAAGGAAAATCGCGAGTCTTCTGGGATCGCGTTGCCATAAGAAAATAAGTCTTGCAGGAAACGTTCGGGCAAACCGGACTGCTGGGTTTCTTCTGTCCAGAGAACTCGATCAGACCATTTCGAAACGGAAACTTTCACTAAACGCTTGGCCTAGGGATCCAATACTAGACTCTCGCCCGCTATCGTGCTTTTTCGAAGAGGGCCAGTTAGAGTACCTGAGTAAGAAATCGAAATTTGATTTTTCAAACGCGAATGACTCATATGAGCTGCAACATGTCTAATGGCTTCCTTGAGCATTGACGATCAGTACCGCAAGATATGCAGCTATAGATCATTCATAAAATCATAACAAGGGCGGAGACATCACGTACAAAGTTTCGACGACCGTATTTTCTTGGCTTCCATCTGTAGTATAATGGTTTTGTTGCATGCATAGGACAGCTTCTAGATACTAGAAGTGACTGAGCTGAGCACAAATCGCCATCACAATCTCATGAGCCGCATACCCAGATTTGCCCAGATACTATCTATGAGCTTAGCTTGACAAGACAAAATTGTTACATATCGCATCTGTAAGGCATGGTAGCCCTACACTAGGGAAACCAATATTACCCATTTGCGCCAACAACTATACAGGGTTATAGCAATCGCATATAACGGTAACTACCGCATAACAAGATAACGTTTCGCTCCGCACGTTCTTCTAGTGAATCTAAATCTGCTATTTTTGGCAAAGATTAGCATTTCAAAGGAGATCGCAAGAAGCGGTGGCATAAGACGGATCATTCTCTCGCAATCTTTTAAAATCTCCTTTATGCACACGACAATGGCGGCAAAGTGGACGAGGACACCACATAGTATGATTAGACGCTGATGTGTCCCACTAAGACAGTTTTTGTTTGCAAAAGAAGGTAGACGATGACGGCAAAAAATATACGTCTAACCAAAAACACGCCGAATATTTCCACAATGGCGCCCTATCGTGTGATTCGACTCCCCTACACCGAAATCTCTCTTTTTATATATCCAAAAGCTAATTCCACGAATAGACGCAATCATTTACTAGTTTGGTAACAGTGAGTTATGTTAACCTCATAATTGCATATTCCCTCACGCCTATTAATGCATTACGTTCCCGTTTTTCAATCATAAAACCGGAACCGATAGAACCATATAACCGAGAGCGGCAATCATGTCTAAAAAGAAAAACGATTGCTAGCGTGATTACTTCTGTAAGATGAGACTGATTTGTCTGCGAATTAAGACCAAAGCGTGTGTGACTGCTCGATCTTCCCTTAGAAGCAAGTGCTCATAATATTTTCAGAAGGAAAAACACCAAGTGCAGAACACTTCTGGAAAACCTTCTGTTTCCGAAGATTGGGTGAAGATTCAAACAGAAGCTTAGTGTGAACCGCAATTTCTCAGAAAGGAAGTTTTCTAATGTGCTTAAAAAAACAAGGTTTTGAGGCTGTTCACAAAAGTACAAGAACAGCCCACACTGAACTTATGAGCAGGTATTCTTTTAAGATTGGATTTGATAGAGCCTGATAAATAGCAATGTTGATATAAGATTATGAGCACAACATAGTTGCAACTTGATGCAAGAATGTCTTTTTCCTAAATTGATCAAAAAAATAATTTCAAACAAAGCCGTGCTTCGTAAAATGTAGCCAAATTTCACATTGTTCAAGAAATACTACTCTTTTAGTGGAATAATTAAGACTATAATCATCTGTCAGCTAATGGACAGGTGCAGCGGTCCCAAAGTTGGCTCTGAATATGTTTACAGTTAAAGGCTGTGAGTAATTTCGCGATATTATCCCCTAGTTTCGAAGTCTACTCTTCCTGTACCGCGCAAAAGTTGCAAAGCGCTGTCATAAAGTTTTGATATGATACTAAAATGCCAAGACAACATTTTGCAAAAACTCCTGAGCTCAGATTTTGAACACATGCCGCAAAGGCAAAGTCCTATTGCATCAGAAAGTGTATGACGTACTCAATTTTCAAAAGGTATAAACTTTTTGAATAATCAGATTGAAAAAATTAGGATTATTAGGAAGATTCATTTTGAGTATTGCTCCCCTTCGTATGAGTACAAAACTTCAGCAAGAGTTAAGTGATGAAAACAGAAGTACGTATAGGAAACAACAAAAGGACGTTCGAACACTATGAGATAAACTCCAGTCGCTGACTTATGAAGCTATAAAAATTTTTGATAAAGTAAATAAGTTTGAAAAACAACAAAAGGACTTCTGCACACTATCACAAAAATATGCTTCCAAAACAGTACTTTGAGAAGTACGGAAGAAGAAACATGCAATAAAATGAATAATGCAACAAATCTGTATTCTTGCTCTGAGCAGGAGGCAATAGTAGTTACCAGTGATACGCAATTTGTAAATTTCTGTGCCTTATTAATTACGGAGCTCAAAAATATCTGCATAGATCAAAATCTAGGCACCAGAAGCGAGACAATCAGATTTTGCAAAAACAGACATAAACATAGTTTCGACCGCATATGCGCAATCGGACACGCCAAATGTCGACCTAACGATGCCGATGACTACTGTTTTTGACAGAATTGGAGCATCTACGACGACACTTTTTCATCTGAAAACGGCGTTGAAACAGCTGCACGTGCGGACGTTCGCAGCCGTTGTCAAAAACATTAGGCTTCGATGTCAAGGAGACGAAAAAAGAGTCCGAATGACTGATTGCTGAAAGTGTACGGCGCCGATTGCCGCTTTAGTTCCGGTCAACGTTCGTATAGCATTGTAGACATGCATTGTTATTTTGGGAACGCCGAGATAGATGACAGTCAAGGGTGGAGGGGAGGGGGGGGGGGGGGTGCTCGTACTACTGAAAATCATGGATCACCATGCAAACAGCAGACTGTTGTCCCATTCTCAGGAAGGAGTGGACGAGATGGAGCGAAGGAAGACCGAAGTTAAAAATCAGATTTTCTTCTACTTCCCTCCCCCCCCCCCCCTCTTTCAATTCTTCCTAAGAATTTGGAACAAGTTGTTTGCATATCGAGATAATTGGTTGTGCAAATAACAAAGAATTAGACTATCTATAGAAAAAGGATTTTATATGAATTTGCTTGTGTGTCTTCAACATGTTTATGAATTAGTGAACCGTTTTGAGACCGTAGGTGATCCTCAAGCTACAAGCTAACTCCAATTCCTCCTTTCTCCTCCAAAAATACGACAAAAAAACTTTTGCTGTCGGCTGACACCGCTTCCTCGTATTTTTGGCAAGATATAAAAAATCAGATTGAAAATCTTATGAATAATCAACATGGCATTCGGCATAAATTTTGTAAGAACTGAACAGAAACCACTGCACAACAGGGCACGCTGATCTGCGGCAATAAGATTAACCTCATTCCGCGAAAAACGGAAACAAACATTGGCGACGAGGGAGACAGACGAAAGATTATTGAAACACTGAATTTTTTCCTCCTGACAGTTCCACTTTTCGACTCTGTTGAACTATCAACATACAAACGGGAAAATCCATTCTGCTTACCGATTTTCAATGTTGGATTAGTTCTATACAGATCGGCTACAAAATATTCAGAAAGCTGGGAGCTCACCTCCTTCTAGGTCGAGCGAACCGATTTTCAAACGTTAGTCCCCGGCGCTGACAAAAAACTAGCTAACATCGAAAAAGGCATTTTCTACAATTTAGAACCTTATTCTGAAGTTTCCTACATGTTTTCAAATACTATAGGTACCAACTGACCAACCACCTGCCAACCTCCACAAAAAAAGAACTCTTTAATTAACAAGATAACAACATTTCTATTAAAAAGACATAACATAATGAAAATGTTCTTGAGAAACCCATACATAGCCCATCGACACCGGACAGCTCATACCGAATGTGATAAAGAGGAACAATACTGACACTAGATCACTTAACTAGATCTTTGATTCCACGCCTAGTCAGGCTTGAATGAAGTGCCATTTGTCAACCTCGGCAGGAATTTCAGAAGCAGCAGCTGGAGCTGCGGCTGCATCCAACGCAGCTTGAGCAGATTGATGAGTAGCCTGATGGGCAGCGCCTTCCACGAAGCATTCCCTGAAAAAAAAAAGATTGTAAAGAAAAAATAGTGAGGAATTCAACCACAAATGAAAAGAGATAAATCGCTTACGTGTTGAGCTTAGGCGATGCTTCCTTGATGAGCTTTTTCCAGTACTCATGTGTCTCCAAGATGACCTTATGGGCATAGTCACGATCTTTATACTCGCCGTTGAAACCGAACTTATTTTCAGGTTTTCCAGTCGGGATTTTGTAGATGCGGAACCATTCGACGGTAGCCTAAAATAACGGGGGACTGGAACATCCAGGTATAGGCAATTCCATCGCCGAATTTACATAATCGTCATGTAAAGGTGCTTCAAAAAAGCTGCTTTCTTTTGTCAAGCTTGACTGAGAGAGCCTGTTCCGTACATAACTCACACAGTATCGCTCGTCAATCTCATTCTCATAAATATCCAGACCAACTTTTCCGCGCTCATGGTCCTTCCGCTCCAAGGCAATTCTACCGTTTCCCCTTCCTTTTCCATTTCTCATTCGCTTTTCTCTTCTAGGCCCTAGGTCCCTCCCTTCCTCTCTACCATCCCTAATTCTGCCCCAGTTTGCAAACAGAACTTTTCAAAACGAAGCGCCAATTCCTAGATAAGATTTAAGGGTACTTTCCGTTATCCGGACCCAGTTTTTCGAAAAAGATCATTGCATCTTTCCTTGAACCCTATCTAGCCACACACAGGAAAGGGTGTCAACCTCCTGCGAAAAAAAAATTTTTTTTTCTACCAAGAGTTTGTCTGTCGAATCATTGATGGCACGGACTGGACATCACTGCGGAGCACGCGCTGCGAGGCAAAACGCTTGCCCCAATCCAAACTCGTCATTGTACAAATCGTGTTTTTTGATGTTTTTTTGAGATGAACAAAGATGTTTTTTGATCATTGTCAGAAGCTGTCAGGATGTTCTAACTAACGTTTTGAATTATTTTCGTCCGTCCAAATCAACAGGTTAACAGCTTTTGAGTCATCTCAAATGCTTGCTCACCTCACCGGAAATGATTTTGAATGAAAAGCATGTCAAACTTAACCGAAACAATTCTTTCGTCAGGTGGCAAAAAAAGTCCTTATAGGATCTATGAAAGAATTCCCTTGATTAAGTACGTATTTAATGAGGGCTTCTAGAAAAAAAAGAGGTCCGAATAGCGGGAAATACCGATTTGAGTTGCAGATGATGACATGTTGTAAAAGTGCCCTCTTTTAGTTTTCAGCAAAAATGAGCAAGTCATCGACGATGTACAACCTTAAGTAATCCAGGGAAATGTTTCTCGACATCTCCAATGTTATTCATCTGATCGGCTAGAGGATCGGTGACATCAATGGAGATCAACTTCCAGTCGGTTTCTCCCTCATCAATAAGAGCGACCACACCAAGGACTTTGACCTACAACAAATCATAATGAAGAAATACATAAAAAGTTGGAAGCTATAGTTATCTGGTGGTTATCTTTACCTGAATGACAGCTCCTCGTTTCTGCACCTTGGATCCAATATCCACTATGTCAATCGGGTCGTTGTCACCAACGGCCTTGGTTTCGGGCACTTCATGTCCGGGATCTTCCCAGGTCTGTAAAGTCATTTTTACCATCATAGCATAACAGAATTCTGTACCCACCTGTGGAATAGCTCCATAATTCCAAATGTAGCCCTTGTGCGGGAAAATATTATGTACAAATCGTGGAAGACCCTTCTTAACATCTTGCTTGATTGGAGTCATCGCCTCCTTGGTAGACATCTGCAAGACAATTCTCATAGGAAAAAAGAATAAGCCATCGAAATTTCATGACAACCTCCATCTTAGCATTCGTCCAACGCGGAATCTCAACAATCATATTGAAGATTTTCTTACTTTCGTCAGCGTAAAGCGGAATATCATGCCAAGGAGACAGAATTCCATCGGGGCCCTCTGAAAAGAGCAAGTTCCAGAAGAGTGTCAGTTTCATCCATTCCAGACTTACTTATGAAAACTCGATAATCAAGTCCATATAAAGACCCCCGTTCGACGGTCTCGTACTTGACCGCGTCACCGCCTGACATTTTCGATTTCGGCTGAATCTCTTCGGTGCCAATTGCCCTCGCTGATCCGGGGGCTCTATAAAGAAACAGAGGTAAACTCTAGCATCCTTCCACATTCGATTCGCATTCAAAACCCATTGGACTCAGAATGAAAGGGAAGTAGAAGCTACAATCACTATTAGTCCAGCTGAAACTTACCCTAACAAAACAGCACATAATTTCAGCAAAATATGGGGTACGAACACTTGCATTGTGATAAGAAGTAAGTAACACAGAGTGCAGAGGGAGACTTATATTTACTGCTCAAGGTTGTATAAACAGACGGTGAGCAATGGCGACCATTGCTGACTTAGTGTCACATATTTGCGAATGACGATAATCCCCTGATGACTGGTCTCGAATCAACCTCTGTCGAAACTCAAATTTGGAAATGTACAAACCAGTTTCCCTTAGAAAAAAAAAACGGGGACCAGGTCAGAAATTATATCCCTATCACGATTACTGTGGCAAATGCCAATATCAGGCAGCATCCAGTATTATCCACCTAAACTCTAGAGTTGGTGAGATACGCTGTCGGGGGAAACGATAAATTGTTCCAGAAAGTATAATCGTCTCCACGATCCGTGTAGAGGCGGGTTGCGGAATTTCCCTGATTATAAGGATAAACCTGTTAGACTTTCATTGAAGCATTGTTTCTCGTAGTCTCGCCATCAAAAATCGCCACGCTTTGAGCTGCCAAAACCTCGCCTCTACTCGAATCGTTGAGTCGATGATAGATGTGGTAGAGCGCCCTGCCTACCAACGTTGGTGGTCCGAAGGTACACAAAAACGGAGGCGTGCAGTATCCTCCGACGTTTTCGCACTTCAAAGAAGTGCCGACTTTGGATCTGCACCTAGGCGACCCGAGGAGTAAATTGACTTGTCCAAACTTGTTTAGTCGGTATAAGACGAGTAAAGGTCATTTAGACACGCAAACTGTAATAGGTTTGAATGAGATAAAATAAAAATAAATTTGCAAGAAGTTGGATTACTGACGAATAAGTGGGGGAGGGGGGGGGACATCTTTTGTGGATGACTTCTGTTTCCAGATAGCTTCTAATTAGATACAACTACTTCAAAGCGATATTATCCAAAAATTTATTGGCTTTACTTGAATTAGTACTGATCCAGATAATCAAGACTCTAAAATCACAATTATTCATTTGGATATGTTAGATCTGAAACCTATAAAGGCAACATGAGAGTTTCGCAAGTAAGACAAACAAGGGAAATATATCTGGTGTTCGTAACCATCCATGAAGGGTGGTTTTGCACAACATAATTGAATTTTTCATCAGAATCTGTTTTTCTTACTGCGAAACGGTTCGTTGAACAAAGTTACAATATTTTCACAAAGCTTTTGCGTTGTTGCTGAGGGGCTGAGTCATCAATATGGGTTTTTCTTAGACAATCGTCTACCAAAATCCGCTTTAGTACCTTGCCTTAATGTTATTAGATAGGGCGAAGCAGAGAAATTTTTTTAATAAGGATGAATTTGAGTACGTAGAGTTATGCAATTCTGCCAAAAACGCTCACGATTTCCTTCAATAGATTTACACTCAGCGTTCAGAGAAAAATGGGTAAGTCGCTCATCGTGACTTCAGTTGAGTATGCACCTTCGTGCAATGGGTCGATAAGTTCCCTTATTTTCTCCAGCTTTTCGGGTATGAAATCGGAGTTACATGGCTTACACATGTTCATACTTGTTAACAGTAATTGCGCGTCTTACTACTTGGGTGGTCGCCTATGTGCATTTTAGAAAGGCGACAAGCCTTGGGAGGATGATGACACGCCGCCCATGGAGTGAAGACCAAAGAGCCTGCTTAAAGGCAGCGTACACCCAAAATCTAAGTTACCGAAATTCCTAGATCTTTCTATACCGTGCATATACTGGGCCCAGAAGAAGACCAACTGCGTTGGTCCGGTCTCCTAATGTTGCTTCTGAGCGGAGAAAACCCCCTCAATATTCTTTCATTCCGCCCCTTTTCTTTCACTCCGCCTCCTCCGGACGAATCCACGACAGCGTAAGCTTCAGTTGCCGTTGCAGTTGCTGTTGCAATGCTGTTGCACCTGCAACTGCAGTTGCAACAGTGCAGTTGCTTTTTGCGGTGCGCCTCCTTCGGGCGACGAACCACGACAGCATATGCAGCAGTCGCAGTCGCAACTGCAGGCTGTCGTGCTGTTGCAGCTGCTGGCATGCCGACGGGAACTAGCAGTTCGAAACTCGTCCGCCCCTGAAGAGAGGGTCCCCGAAAATCGGGGTTTTTTTGGGACTTTTGGAGGATTTCAATGACGTGACTGTAATCAGCGGCACGGAAAGGCCCCAGAATGACAAAAACGTCGAAGGTGAAATTTTGGGTGTATGCTGCCTTTAACAAGTTGAAACTTGCGCTTAACATCAATTTTCATGATACCTTCAGATTGGGAAGAATAAGTGTGGACTTGTTAGACATGATCGTGCAGAGCTTTGTTTTTGCTAATAAAAGCTTGAAAGAACAAGGCTAAGTTCACAGTGAGCTTTAACGATAAAATTTCAAAAGGATTTATATACAGAAGATAGAGTCAAAGGATTTATTGTTTTTAATGGATAGAATTGTCAGCTTAAAAATATTTCCTATGTCATATCTGCTAAGAGCACTAAACTTTCAGCTCAATGTCAAACGAAATTATGCTCAAAGAGTAACTCTCTGTGACTTTTTTTTATAAAAACATGATGGTCCAAAGAATGGAAAAGTCAGAAAAATTTGACAGATCCTGTATATGTCAGCCGCAGCAAATGTCCAAGCTGAATAGCTGAATAGCTATATAGTTTTGGATTTGCCTTGTTGGCATGATATATTGATGACATGGCTTTTGTATGTAGATTGTATGAAAATCAAAAATGAGAACAGAGATTCATAAATGGTAATGATGAGCACTCTGAGTAGGGTAGGTGCCAGAACTTCGAAAGGCAAATAACGCAAAATTCATCAAAAAATCAAAGAAAACGCACGGCTGGCACGTCAAAAACAAGATTCTAACTTAGAAAAGATGAAACTGGTTGGCAAAAGAGCGATAATGCTGCAAATGCACTGGAAAGCGAAAGAAGTGGCAAAATTGTCGCCTACACGTCACGATTAGCTGCGATAAAAGATACTGAATAAAATCGATAACACGAAGACAGACTTTTGTACATTGGAGAAAAACGAAGATAAAAGGAAAAAACCATGCTTCAAACGACAGAAAACAAGCAAACCTAGCATTGGAATACCACCGCAGCATAAATGAGACAATTCAGCAATGAAACATTCGATGAAATAAGGACACACTTATCCCTACGAAAACACAGCCCGCAGAACTTCCACATGCGATAACGAATGATCTTACTCGAGGTTCTCATGAAAGATCTACGTGGCTGATACTGCGTCTAGAAGACATGGCCAATCATGTCTAGAGAGCGGCAGTGCCTTGCCCAGCTATTTTATAGATGCTTACTCACCGTGAGCAAAAATATTCGAATTACATGAACTATCAGAGAACCAAGTACAAGGTGACTCTGCAGTTTGGAAAGAACAGAATTTCTCCAATCTATACTCAAAGAGTTTTGAAAAGTACTCTAGAAATAAAAACATTATGTCTGAAGTCCACTTTCAGGCGCGACTGATTTTGCAAAACAAATACTATCTCATCCTAAACCCATAAATGGTTACCACTTTCTCTAAGGCTTGGTACATACCTGGCGTTGGGTGTCCATACATATCGGAAGCAGCAACACATTTCGTGCGTAATGATTGCAGCGGAGTGACGCTGCTGCCTCCGCTGCAGCAGCTAGCGCAGAAAGTCGTGTCCATACCTAGCGAGTCATTTTTGAGCAGCGCTGCTTAAGCTGAACAGCGCTGCAACTAGATTTTGCAGCTAATTTACGCTCATTTTTTCTGAGCTGCTTTGAGCTGCAAACAGCTGCTTTTGTTTGAATTTATCAACTTCTATCAAATTTCAAGCTGCTACTTCAAGCTGCTGAACGTTTCACCCATAGTTATTCTGATTCATTCTGTTCTTGATCACTGGTTAACTGTGTGACTTGAAGCAACGCGAAGAAGAAAAAGTACAAACAATCTGGTACAAAGTAGTAGTGTAAATAATACACAAGGCATGAAGCCTTATACCTCAGAAGGCGTTTGCGAACAGTGCAATGACTGCTTGTGGAAGACAGGAAAATTGATAAACGGAGGGATAAAGTGGAATTTAAAAAAAATCATATGCAGTCTAAGTCGTTGTTACAACGCAGTACCTGAAAGAAGGATGCGGAGATTTTGATTATGTCTGACTTCAACACAAGCTCTTGACCCCATAATGAATAATGGCTGAACAAGAGAAAAGATAACATAGCGTGAAGAAAAAAGCAGATGGAGACTTGTAATCAAACATTATCGGAAACTAAGCAAAGCAAACCACTCATTACTGCGAAGTGAACCTATAAGCAGATAACATGCTAAGTACATTGTGTGTCCTTCTTCGATAAAAATTCAAGTAGTGTAGAGAAAACTCTACTTTCACTCACGAAAAGCTTTTGGAAAAAGTTACTTATTGTTCAGACAGTAGGACAAAAAAAGACAGGTGTTCTCTTCAACAGATACCATTTTTATTAGGCTGTCTCATAATTTTTCAAGTTTGATTTCATACCGCGAAAAGTCATACAATTCTTAAAGGCACCGTCCACCCAAAATGGAGGTTGGCGAGGTTATGATGGCATACTAGTGTGGGCCCTCATACTAGACAAACCTCCAAGCTTCGCCGCAAAAGACTGCTTCTGAAGCGAGAAATCCGCTCCGGAAGTAACAAAGTGGGCGGGGCGCCCCCGGCGGTCCACCCAACTCGAATTCAATGTTTTTGTCGCCTTCAGGCCTTCTGAAAGCCCTGATTCCGAATATGGAGTCGAAAATTCGCGAAACCGCCAAATCCCTGTTTCGAGAATCCTCTGGAACAAGTGCAGGCGAAATAAAGCATGCAAGTGGGCGGGGGGACCGGGGGCGCCCCGCCCACTTTTGTTACTTCGGAGCGGATCTCTCGCTTCAGAAGCAGTCTTTTGCGGCGAAACTTGGGGGTTTGTCTAGTATGGGGGCCCACACTAGTATGCCATCATAATCTGCCAACCTCCATTTTGGGTGGACGGTGCCTTTAATGCCAATTGGGATGCAGAATACCGCCTTATAAGATGTCTTGTTGAGTGTTTGCGCTTCGGCACATTTCGAGTTAGAAGCCAAAATCTGTCAAGTCTCAGATGCCCTAAAATCTTAAAAAGATTTATACCTTACAAGGGAATGGTCAAAAATAGATGCAGGATGAAGCGCTGAATCTATATCGGTCTTCTTTATCTGCTTCTCGCTTTTCTGGACGAAGCTATAAGCCATTAAAGGACATTATTTTGCTAGGAAAATTTGCGTGAATGAAAATTTAGCCGTGCAGAGCCACGATCGGCTTCATGCTGGGCCAAAGCATGCAGCTAACTTACTTTAAATTCTTGAGACCTAAAGCTGAGCCAGAGGTGCAACAATGTGCCCAATTTTGCTATTTTCATGCATGATTTTTTCACAAGAAGACTGCTCGTAGCTTCGTCCACAAAAGCGATAAGCAGATAAGGAAGACAGATTCGAAGTCAGCGTTTTATACTGCATCGAATGATATACAGCTTGTTTGGTCTTGCCACTTCGATTTCTGACCATCCCCTTGTTAGTTCAAAACAAAGTTAGCGCATCTCCCACACGTTCACGCATATATGCTCCATAGCACACTCATATATGCCATTGCTGTATTTCTTTCAATGCTAGAACCCGAGACCTTAAAGAAGGAATGCTGTTTCATTTCCACATAAGTAAATGTACACTACAAGCATGTAGAAGTACAATAGGAGATTTGCAGCTTTCTACAAGCTCTGACTAACGAAAATTAGTGATATTTACATAAACAGCCCTAGCAAGAAAAGCTGGAGTCGATATTTCTCGAAAACTAAGGCTCGTAGGAAGCCGAAAATTTACGGTTGTATCTCTCATGGCATATTGTATAGTCTAATTATGTGGAAACAGCACAGCATGGCAATTTTTAGGAAGCTTGAAAATCTTATCTTTCTCGGTTTTAAGCTCAAAAAAAAAATAGAGCAACGGCTTATATGAATGTATAATGCGAAGAATATATGCATGAGTGAGTGGGAAATCCGTAAAGGTTAGTTCTGCACGAAGACAAATCATTTTCAATTATTCTGGCATCCGAATCTTCCATGATTTCAGCTTCTAACTCGAACTGTACTGAATGTTGTGCAAACATTTACATACCATCTTATAAAGCTTGCTTTGCTCTATCAACAGTACCGTGCATACTCATTAGCACTGAGAAGAGTATGACTTATTAAGATGAAATTTCAAAATTGAAAAACTTATAAAGGAACTAATACAATTGAAACTCTAATCTGATATCAAATCGTATTGAGCCGTGTTACACTTTCTCCGTCTTTTTTTTTTTGGGAAACTTCGGCAAAGTCTCATATGACATATGAGGAAGGAACAAAGGGCCACCCACTGGTATCATTTTGGCTTTGAAAGTCTTTGAAAAATTCTTGGCCTAAAGTATGTATTTTATGAGCCTTTTGAAAAAATGGGTCCGGATACGGGAAAGAGTACCGATTACCTTTGAAACAAGATTATCTGACCCATACCGGAGAAGGGATTACGGTAAAAAACAAGGCAACACCATAGGAAACATCACCGCCTCAGGTCAAACTTCACCCACCTCGACGAACCGAGTTGGTGTTGTCGGAACATGGTCGTGCCGCTTCTCGTCGCTCGACTGGCTAAATCGGGTGACGAGCTGCCTGCTGTTGTCATTAGTTGCACCTTCGAGCCAGCCGACGAAGCCGCACAACCCATTCGGCACATCGGTCTCAGCAACAGAACCCGTAGTGTGCAGCATGAGGAGGCCGACCACATCTGGCACTAAGTACATGCTCTTCCCTAACCTTCAAACTTCTCCGCCACATCGTGTGTTATCTATGGGCGAAGCAGATACGGATGAGCTACAAGTCACTATGGTAACAGCCCTCCGAGGACTGAGCGAAATGATAACGCCGGGATTTCAGACTATCCATCACGCACATACGATAGTGAATTTATTCATTGGACAGATACATCTTTGATTTTTTTTAAATATAAACAAAACTAGTCCGCTGATGGCACGCGGGAAGAAAGTGAGGTAAAGTCAAGGAGTTAAGAGTAGTGTAAGATCTCATCAGATTCAAAAATACAGTAACATATGGCGAGTTGATTTCAGATGCACGTTAGCTGTGATCAACAGATCGAGGTTGGTGAATCAGGGTAGCTCAAGTCTTATTTGGGCCAGAATTTATTCACTAGCAGCGTCAAAAATTGTTTTCAACGCATAAATTCATACTTTTCCTGCTTGCTTTGTGCAAAATTTCTACGCACCTAAAGAGCTCTCATGTTAAAATCTTGATAAAAACCATACACAGGGTGTCTTAAAAAGTATGCACACAATGTTCGATTGCCAATATTTCTCTTTCCACAATGAGTTAGCCGACCTTTGGTATATGTAGAGCTGGTTTCAGCTCAGAATTATAGTGCGAAGGAATTCATTCGATCTGCCCTCAATAGTGCTGAATTATGGAAGAAAATCGGGAAAGGTTTTGAGAAATTGGAAGATTTGCCATGAAAAAGGAACAAAACAATTATAAGCTCTTGAACTTGGAAGGGAGAGTTGCTGCTTCAAAAATGAGAGTCGCACTTTTCCGTGCTGCTCCATTTATGTTTTCTGCCAGCTATGCTGCTATAAAAGTTTTTTAATAGCGATAAAGTGAAGAAATACCTAACTTCCCTTTCGTTCCTTCTCACTGTGTTTGTTAAAAATGTAACTACGGATTAAAAAAGCTTGAAAGCTCTTGAAAAATAACTAGTATCAGCATGCGTGGAAACATTGTTACACAACTTTCTAAAATCTTTCTAATGAATTTTGCAAAGCACTTCCAAATGGCACTTCATGCTAAATGTTCCCACCAAAAACGTTACAGTAACGAAGAGCCCTCGGTGCACCACTTCCAACTGAGGTATAGGTTAAAGTCTGCTCTCCATAATGGAACCTAAAGTTTGGCAAAAGAAGCTGTAGAAAGAGAGATATCAACGATCGAGAGTGTATACACACTATCGCGATACCCTGTATGGTACGCAGTACCTCAAGGCATACAGTACATTTCATGGAAAACACACGAGTTAAGAAAAACGGCAAACTTAGATTGAAGATCTTCTAACAACTCTACGTACTCCCTCTATTACATTCAAATTGCTATTTACACAGATAAATCAATTTGGGGAGCTTCGGGGCAAACAAAAATTTATCTTCTTGTAGCAAACCATAGAACCAGAAATTAGTTCCAGACGAAAATGGATTCCGTTTGATTCGCCCGATAGTTTCTAAATTGACTGCTTTACAACAACAAGAGTACCAGGTTGACACAAATACTTTGCTATTTTCGTAACGAATCAGGCAAAATTACTGATTGATAACCCACGACTCAACCATCATAAGATCTATTCTATTTCTATCTCAGCCATTTACCCACTAAGCCAAAATTATTAGCCAACTTCACAATCGTTATAAGCTAGTATGGTAAGACCGACCTCCCATCTATAGCCAAATAGAAGAGAGCAGACGTGATTAGAAATACCATCATAACAACAAGAGCAGATGAATTGAAGCATATCCGCCACCATCTCAAACGCATCACAAATATCCACTGGAATAAACAGAGCTCTGTGAAAGATTGAGCGATCCGAGTTTGGACAGGACAAAGCTATGATCTCACTACAGCGAAACGAAAAAATTCTGCTCGTGAGAAGGATGAAATTTACATATTTTCTTTCATGATTCATTATTTCTAAACCGTACCGCTTCACAAATGCAATCCAAGCAAGATAGAGGGCATTCGGAAAGTCGTGACAATGGCGCGACCGCGCGCAACACGCACGCAATTCTCAGCCGCATTTTCTTGGTATTTATCGATACTCGATTGGTTTTATTTTGCTTACTCATGATAGCATTTACATATCAGAAGTGGCTAAGCTGAGCACTGAAGTGTTGCTTTTGTATGAGTTTCTTACGCTCCGGTGACCGCAAAGACCATATATTCGTGGTTACAAATTTATAAACGACCTTTACTTATTGGAAGTTTATAAACGACCTTTACTTATTGGAAGTTGGGCATGCTGACTGTATGTATTACTTACTCCGGATATTGAAGTTGTTGTTGTTTTTTGAGTCGCTTAGTACAAGTTAGCCATATGAACCAGATAACACAGGAACTTTGCGGAAAGGTAATATTGCTCGACAAACATACAAATTCTGAAATCCTAACCCCTTACATAGATGCTGCTATCACCGGAGACGACCCGATGATAAAGATTCGAAATGGGCATCTGAACATAGTATCCTTCTGAGGTTAAAGCTACACTGATTAATCACAAACAACTGCCAAAACCAGCACCGCAGTTTTTGATATTACATAAGCTCTGCTGATCGGTCCTGTTTTTTTTTCCGAAATGTTGCTTAACAACTTCTGCCATTCCATTTGGGTTAGAAACTGAGAATTATCATAATTGAATTCGCAGAAAAAAATAAAGATGTACAACTAAAGAACTACAGAATAGAAAATACAACGGAATAGTTGAAATTTCTATCCGTGGTTCTAGAATAATGAGTAAAGCTCGAGTTGAGCGAAAGGCATTATCTATTACCTGAAGCCACTCATCTGTTAATATAGAAAACCATTTATAAGAGTTACAAGACTATTAAGTAAAGGCTGAACTGCGCGTGCGCGAACAGCATGCCAAGCGATACTCGAAACAAACTAAAACTGAGGAGGGACATCAGTGAACCAGAACACGTTGACAGTTAGTATGTGACCAGTGTCGAGTGAGAACTGAGAAACGATAGGTCAAGACATCAAATCAATGGTAAAAGTTGTTGATGAAACCACCCAAATGATGAGCGTCAACAAAATATGTTATTGTGAGAATGACAACTCAAAACAAATCTACAATCGAGTGTAGGAGGAACCTTGTTTTGTAGCATTAGTAATCAGAAAGAGTACTAATAGGTTAGATCAAAATAGACAAAGAAAATATTGACAGGTCGTGTTGAAGCCATACACGACACAGAAAAGGCGGTAGCTAATGTTTTTCTGGGGATATTCATATTCAAAGATTGAATGTAAATGAAAAGTGAATTCCGCTTTCATTTCTCCTACGAAAGCGGCTGAAAACGCAGATTACAAAACTGCCCCACTTATTTCTCTAGCGTTTTCCCCAGCGAAGTTACGAAGTAAGTTTTCTTACGAACATTTACTGGCTTCCTGGAATAAGAATCGATGCACGAAAAAAAATAACTTGCCGTAATCTGACAGATTTCGATAATTTTCCTACATACGAAATGGTTTGTCTCAAATATAGCAATGTCTCAACAACTCCATGCGTAGATTTTGTGCATATTATACTGTACAAAGCTTGTTTATTTCAAAAAGCCTTCTATCACTCACGCAATTTAGTACGCATTAGATCTGCTGTATTCAGTTTTCTGGAAATACTCTCAAGCTTCTGCTACAGTCCAATTAAAATTGCGGATTGCACAGACTCACGAAATCTCGAACTGGATTCTATTTTTATACTCCAAGTTCTCTCAAAACTTTCTCATATACCGTTATTTCGCTCCCCAAGCAGAACTGCGCCATCACAAACAATCAAATGGAAGAAATACAGGACACTTGCCCTCGGAGGGATGACATGAAGCTAGGTATATGCGGCGCTTACACGCACATCATAAAAAATAAACAAGTTGTGATTACTTCTTTAACAGCAAGGGAGACAACTTTACTATACTAAGTTTAACAACGAATGTTACATACCTCTGTGATTATTAACATATAGCATAACAAAAACAACATAGCACCGATGCAGAAATACCAGTCTCAATAACCGGATTTTTGAGGTAAACAAAGGAAACAAAACTCTCTTTTAAAATTAAGGCAAGAATGAGTCTAATTTACACTGATTAGTAACAAGATTCAAAAGGTAAAGCAATGATTCTACCACTCTTTTCCATCAGATACAAGAGATCAAAGACAACCCATGTAACCATGTCACGAACTTGTAGTTCCTAAATGTTATTAGAGCTCATAGGAGGTTAATGTCTGCATGAGACCCAAAATGTCATTGATGACGTCATGGTAAACTCTCATCCAAGGTCTCTCTTCAACGGATTTCTCCACATCATCTCGAAGATCGCGGACCTTAACGAAAGTGCTAATAAAATTTGGTTTGGTATTGGGTCCCTCATTTGATATGAGCCTAGTACGCAAGTAAACTTGGACTGAACAGCTCTGACTGTAAACAAAAGGGAAGCCATGGAAAGATCACAAAAGCTCAAAATATTAGGTTGGAAACTAAGCTTTGCAACTGCTTTCATAATTTTTCTCCTATCAAACTTTGGCAATACACAGATCTCAATGCGTCCTACGAATGTGCACAAACTGTTTAATTATTGATTGCGAAATAAGAAAATTACACGCATTTTTCTAAAATTAGTAAATTTCGGGGACTTGTGGGGTTATAAGTAAAAATGAAGCCGCCAGATCATGCACAATGACCCGAGACTGTGAGTTATTGCTAGAGGTTGACTCATTTAGCTCAGAAGAAAAGGAATGATTCGAAAGACGAAACGAGATCTGGCGCCCTCACAAAGTTGAAGGAACCGCTGTGCGAAGGCTGCTGGATACAACTATCTAGGCCTAAAGAAGCCGTCGTCCCAAAATTCGCCACGTGTTCGCATAGTGGGCGGTTATATCACCTGCCGAATACGAATACCATACCCATTTGTTAGAATAACGCCTCTTTACTGGCTTAGGGCGACCCGTCAAGCTACAGAAATCTTTGAAAAAACCCTATCATGCAAATTCAGTATGTCCTTCGTTGTCAGCATGTCGGATAATCCCCTACATCAAGTTTCAATCAAAACCCTGATGATTTGTAACTTACCCCCTCTACCATATACCTACCGTAACCCTCACTGAGACGACAGAATTTTGCGAGACAGCAGCTGCGCCTGTATCTTAGGTCATAATCCATATATTGGCGAAGTTTGAGTGCGTCATATTCAACGAGAAGAAAGTTAACAAAGGAGTTGCAAAACTTAGCTTCCAACCTAATATATGATGCGCATACAAAGTATAACTAACCGATGAAATGTCACTCTGGAGTAAAGCGCAAAATTCTCGGCTCAAAGTTGCATCCTTGCACAATATGGCTTTCATGGCCAGATTGATGCATATTCTCAGTCGACAATCTACCATTAGCGCTTTTGGCCACTCCCTATCACCTGAAAACAAAACTTCTCTGTTTACCGCCAAAACATAAAGAAGACGTACCATCTATTGTGCGAGGATTCAGAGCCGTTCTGATACGACTGACGCAATCTTTCAGGATTTCACCGACAACAGTTTTGGCAACTACGGTCGTACCACTTCCTGGGGGAAAGAATGAAGTAGCGATGTTCATCAAAGCTATTTCTTCCTCGGTGGGCTGAACCGAAACATCATTCTCAATGCGTTCCAATGAAAAGAAGAAACCAACCAGCGTGTTTGCAATGTCATCCGCTCGACTTTCACCGCGGCTTGCGGCGAGTTTGTCCAGTCGTTCAAGAAGTTCATCGAATGTTTTCCTTAGAGATGCAGGAGATACGTCCAATACTTGGAGCTCCTGAGAAAACTGTTGGAACCATGCCCAGAGAAGAATCTTGCCTTCAGCCTGCAACAATGAAATTATATGGTTGCTAATCGATTCACAGGAGCACTCGTCAACTGAGTCTCAAGAGCATGTGAGGAGGATAAACTAATTCAAAAGATACCTGTCTTGAAGATAAAGCCAGCGAAAGGATCACAAAGAATGGGTCATTCTTATCATTCATCCAGTCTAGCCATTCCGCTGCAGGGGACAAGAGTACATTAGTTGTGGCTTTGATAGCAACGGTCTGAAAAATGAGGAATCTGAAACATAAACTATATAGTCAAGACCCTTCAGGCCTTTTCAACTCTGCAGTATGGAGCGCGCATGGAATGATTCGCAGCGAAAAAACGCGACAACTTTCTGCCTTTGCAATTACAAACGCTCGTTAACGAGCTCCATCCTACTTCAAAACCTCATTAAGCCGGAGAATGAGAATGTGTAAAAACCGTCTCGTAGAGACCAGGGCAAAGAAGTGCAAATGTAAACCTACCACATCATTCAAAAAGATCCTGACCAATGCAGCACGCAAATAATTCTTCTTCTCATCAACTGAGAGCAAATCGCCCTAAACCTCATTGTGGTGTTGATTTCCCCTGTAAGCTCTAGTAGATGAAAAAAGGCAAACCGCATGATTTAGCGCCCAACAAAGCAGTCGCACGTAACGAGTTGTGTTCACAGCATTAATAGCTTGAGTACTGATCGTTACTAAAAGTTTCCTAAAGATAAATGTTTCGATGATGCGATCAAGGACATTCACACTACTAACTTTACATAAGGCACCCATATCTGTGGACCTCCAGCGAGTTCATTCGCAATATTGATAAGCATATCTTCCTAAAACATAAAGTCTCTACAATCAGTGGTCAAAACACAGCAGGCAAACCTTTCTATTGGGTATATATGAGAATTCGGACATGCTATAAAACGTTTGTACAAGAGTCCACACATCTCCTGACTGCAAGTTGAGAGAACACTAAACAGCAGTTATATACTACATATGTATCACCATAAAATTTATAGCGCAAAACCTTCATCATAGTTGATGCGAATTCATCCGGATCCATTTTTGCGATCGCGTCGACATCTTCGCCAAGTGTATTACGGATAACCTCAATTTTCTGCTCGGACGTGAGCACTCCATGGAGTTTCTTTTGTAGCGTCTAAAAAAGATTTTTGTAAAATTCATCTTAAACCGGAATGCCAACACGCGAAAAGAAAAATTAGAAAAAACTCACATTTTCCACTGCCGCCGCTTTCTTAGGTGAGCTCACAGTCTCTGTCGATTCTTCAACTCTTCTTTTCAGTCCTCGTGCAGGAACCTTCCTACCAACCAACGATTCTCCTTGAAAACAGAATTTGTGCGCTACAGGATATGGCAATTCGTTTCCATCAATCAAACCTACTTTGGATGGTAGATGGTTCATTATCTGCAGGTCCAGAGCTACGCAAGTTGATCTGGAAATAAAGATTAGAGAATGAAGAAGGGAAACAATCAATGTACCTTTGTAGACACAGAGACCGGTGCAGGGAGTGGCTTAGTTATTTCAGGATGTCCTCGCGGAGTTCTAATAGAAGATCGCTGGAAAAGATTTGCATAAAACAGAGTTACTTCCCTAAGTGGTGTAAATAACGGAAAAAAACGCTGACCTTTCTTACCGCACTAGTACGAGTTACTATACCACTACCACTTTGCTGCAATTGTTTTGCAATTCTAGAGCTCAGCCTATGCATTGTCGCTGGGCCAGAACCAGGCTTAGCTAACGAGCGCCTCACTGCTTGCAGAACTCCGCTGCGAGCCTATAAGGTAAATCGAAAAACTGCCAGCTGCAACATAACATTGGTCGAAACAAACCCGGGGAGTTTTCTCCGTTGTTGTGTCCAAATTTCTAGCAGATTCATTTGTAGAAGACGACACATCCTTGCTTGTAATTCCTGAAGTTATAAATGATTTGGAAATTAGCTAAGCAGACTTGGATAACTAACGTTTACTACTGCGTGTGGCGTGTAGCGCCAAAGAAGGCTGGCTCACAGCTCCCTCATCTCCTCTATCCTCAGACGCAACTTTTTCAGCAGTTACCTCAGGCGCTGTTGTGAGATCTCCAGCTGCCTTTTCCACGGCGTCTGCCGCTCGCTCTTCATCCTGCAAATCATGCTGCAAAGCTAACCATATAGCTTCTTTGGCTATGCAAGGTGAAACCCAACTTGCAAAAAAAAATGATGTAACATTTGCAACTTATTATAATGCCCCACCAAACAGGTGTAAGGCTAACCCAGAACGAAGGCGGCGCTTATGTACGCGAGGCGTGCGCGAACGTACGATCTCTAAACGAAAGCTCTATTGTTCGTATACGTCACTTGCAGCCGCCGCACAAACCGACCGCCTTCGCCATGGATCAGCTTCATATTAGCTCCTCAGGATAGCCTCATGAGATTTTGGCGAAAACACATTAATGCTCTGACACATCGTAGCTCAGCCCCGTTCCCCAAACTCATCAATGTTACCAGCCACTCCCACTCGTGGTGAGTGGGAGTCGGTGGTAGGACTTGGAAGCACTCTTCCGGATGGCGCATAAGTTGGAGTATGGGGCCGTGGCTGCGATCTGCTCAGAGGGTCTACTAATCTCGCGCCACTGTCTTCAAATGCCGTCATAGGCGTAGGCGCCCAAAACTTGTCCTATCAAGAGAAGGATCATTAAGATGCAAAACCAAAGCACTTTGAACCTACCTCTTCATTTGCGATAACAAGGCGTTCTTCATCATCAGCTTCTTCTTCTAATCCAAAAACAGTTTCCTTTCCTGGCTCGCTTGCTTGAACTGGTGGCGGCTGCGCCTCGCCTTCGTTATGCTCAGCTATGCAGAGCCTATCCTCGTCATCAGTGCTAGCTTCCGATAAGCTTCCTTTCTGCTTAAAAGTATAACTTTAAGGCTAAGCAGTGAAAAAAGTGATCTGCTCTCACCTGCGTGGGTTCAGCCTTACTCTCTTCCACAGGCTTTCGTCTCTTCTATAAGCAAAATACTGAATTCGCAACAAATTATAAGACTAATTTCGTACCGGAGCTACTGGTCCCGTTCTTGTTCTGGTTCTTGTCGGAATGGAGAAATCAAGCTCTAAAGGCGATGCAGCAGAGCCACGTCGGCGAGTATGGAGTGCAGGTGACGATTCAGAAGTTGGTTGTAAGTGGGTCAACTTTGTCCTTTTCGGAAGAATTGACTTCAAAGGTGGTTCAGGCTGGCGCTTCCTCGAAATTCCTACGGCGCTAGATGGAGCTTCTTTGTGAGCTTCAGATGGTCCAGAAGCCGCAGGAGCAGCATTGTCCGCATCGTGTGCAACGCTTCCTTTCTTCCTTGTATCGTGAGTGGCCTGCATACTCCCTGCCTCTTCTTTGCTAGCTGCTTGCTCAACCACATTTTCGGCGTTCTTAGAAACAGTTGGCAACGTCGATGTTTTGAGTACTGCCTCATCACGCAAGTGTACTGCCTCATCACGCAAATTGCTCGGCTCAGCCACAGCACTAGAAGTTACCTCAGAGGAATTCTGCACCGATGCAACAGCTTCTTCGTTGGTAACATATGCAGAGCTCGATGAAGGGGATACAGCTGATCTCCTTTGAATTCTGAAAGAATGCGCAGATTTTTGTTCTATACTCTCAGACAATTTTTCGTTTTGATTAACTAACTTTGCTTCCTCTGCGGTTTCCATTGCAGACTTTGCTGATGTTAGCATGACAGAGTGAGGATGTTGACGCTTTGGACGACCACGTCCTCGCTTGATTCTTGGCTTGTCATCAACAGATTGAGTAGCTGCTTGTGTGTTCACAGTCACTGCTGGATTTACCGAAGCTGTCTGCCCATCAAAAGCAGCAGCAAGTCTGGCAGGTGCATGTTCGGCACTGGGAGGTCTCTGTGTGGTTTTTACACGAGACTTTCGACTATCAGTGAGCTTTGGAGTAGAATCAAAGGTTTTTAGCGATGGCTGAGGACCAATTTCAGCTGCATTAGATATGCTTGATTTTGGCTTTGGAACTCCATAGGAAGAGTTTTCAAGGACATTAGGATCCGGCAGCGATGGAACAGGAGTAACTCCTGATGGTGCCACGGTCGCAGTATGGGCTCCAGCCAAAATTGAGCCAACTATGTCATTCATATCGGCTTGCTGGAAAACAGTATTTGGAAACAGAAAAAGAGAAAAGGAACGATCATACATGAAGATGCAATGTATTGGCCAAACTAGATTGCGCAAAATCACCATACATAAGCAAAAATTCGCCGAGTAAGAGCAGAAAAAAGTCTGGAACATTATTACTGCGACCGAGTGAGCGGAAAAAATATCGGGAGCGCAAGCAGGGCTTAGTGTAGTTACCGCTATACATTCATATCAAATGTTAAAATGCGCAAACAGGAAACTCGATCAGGATACGCTGTATAAAGCAAGACGAGCACTCACTTCGACGGTAGAAGGTTCCTTTTGCTTGGCTTTGTCCTCACTGAAATGCAAATAAGTATGAACCTGTTAAGTTCTTCAAAAACGATCTCACTTTCTGAGCGAGCTTTCAGGCTGCGGAGAATCCGTGATAGGCTGTGCGTCTGAAAAAGTTTGATTTGAACTGCTTATTTCTGAATTTACTGCAGCACTCACTTATGCTTCGTTTCCTACCGGTCATCCTTGCAGTAGCATCGGGCTTAGGCGCTCCTTCCTTGATCTATAATCAAAAGAATTGTTTCGATTTACATATGAACTGCAGCGTTACAAGTTGAGCAAACAAAGAAGCTTACTCCATCTCGTGAGCGGTGTTCGAGATCCTTTCGGGCACGCAAAGATGGAAGATTAAGTGCAGCGTGTAACTTCATTGCCTCTTCGCGATCCCTTTCTGCAAACATTGCGATAACATAGACGTTTGTATTCTCGAAGGATGCAGCGGTAACTAATTAGGACAGTGAGCACAGCAAGCGACGCTCAAAGCCAAATACCTACCTTCGTCCACTTCATTGTGAGCTGCATCAGTCGTAGATGATTCCAAAGCATCAGCTTGTGATTCAGTGATGTCAGCTGGTTTTGCAAGATCGGAAGACGGCCCATCAGTACTCAACCTTTTCTGAAAGAGCAGCAACATTAAGTATGATAGACGTCCCCCATGCAAGATTGGGGTGAGCACCAACTTCAAATCATTACCGTACCAAGAGATCAACAAATGAATTTTTGCAGCTGTGCAGGAGATAAGATATGTAAACCCTCCAAAAACAGCGACAAATTAAAAATCAACCTTACCTTAGCTATCTCTGCATCCGGTATTGGTTCTACCACATCCTTCAGATCAACTTCCAAACGTCGCATCAGTCCAAGAGCACGTTTTGTATCTTTTGCAAGATGAGGTTTAGGGGGCTTCACTCTGAAGTTGCTGATGAGATATAAAATCAGCATCAGTATCATTAAATCCTAACTCACAACACTGACATGGCTGCTTCCTCCTCTGTGCTTGCTACTTCGTCAGAAGGTACAACAGATTCTGCTACCATTGGCGCTTCCGTCCCCTCAGCAACCGTTACTTCTCCCTGAATCATTGACATTCATAAACAGAAGAGTTCTGGAAGCTGTAGGGCTTCAGCTACCTCATCTGCAGTTTCTTCCTGTGGTTCATTCTCGGTATGTTGATGCTCTTCAATATTTACAGTTATTTCCACCGATGTTCCCACAACAGGTGATTTTCCTGTAGCCTCTCGTGATTCTTTGGCTGCCCTTCCCTCAAATGTGAATTCCACAACAGTCGCGGTTTCCCTTGTAAGCTCAGCCGTATCAAGGCCCGTCGCTCCAACCTCTTTGGAAATTTCCCCCATTCCTTCTTCATCTTCAGGTGTTGCACTTTCTTCCATAACGTGAGCCACTTCCAGATTTTCAGCAGCCAAATCAAGCAATTTGCCTCCTTCTTTATTCTCTGTATTGGGCATTTCCAAAACAACATCAGCCATGTGAGGCTCCTCAATCCTTTGTTGATGTTCAGTGCTCACGGCATCTTCATCAATCACTGCCTGGGGATGAATCTCGCTGGATTGTTCCTCCATGAAGCGTTCATCAACAATTTTTTCGACGGGTGGTTCACTAACCACCTCTTCGGACAACTCTGAAGTGCCCGTCAGTGGCTCCATCGTTTCCCCATGTGTATCACCAGATGTAGGCACAACTTCCATTTCCATGGCAGCAGCATTTTCATTCTCAACCTAAAGATATCAGCCTATGGGATTAAATGGTTCAACTTTACTTTCATACCTCAGCATTGCTTGGAGTATCACCTTGTTCCAAGGTACCAAATTCTTCAAGTGCAAGGAATTCATGGGCATCAACACCCTTGTCAGCTGCTTCGTCTCGAGCTTCGACGATTGGCTCTAGAACAACCAGCAGAAGATCAAAGCTTCACAATATTTAGTACAGTGAAACATACAATACATACCTGCAGCGATGCTAGAAGCAGGTGAAGGAGAAGCAGACATAACTAAGTCGTTCCTAACGGAATAGCTAGACTTGGTCGGCGAGGTCGTCTGCAACAAGAATGAGGTCAGGTAAGAAAGAGACTCTCATACGAAGAAAAAATGGAGATATCTCTCACCTCTTCGTTCTGCGTGTCACCATCCACTGTTTTTGCAACATTTATGTCTTTCGATGAACCTAAATTGTCGTTATTGGCAAACGCAAAACTTTTCAAGCTTTCTAACCTTCACCACCATCTAGCGTTTCAGAGACATTCTCTTTTGCTTTCTCAAGATTTTTCATCATGGCAACCTTCTCTTTTATAGAGACTTTCATCTGAGCTTGTTGCTGTTCACGAACTGTCATAGTTTTCTTCCCATGGATACTGGAAAAAAAAACAGAATTAGGATTTTTAGGTTTTCTGATTCTAACCTCATGTGCTTCAAGCCGCCGCTGCCAAGATCAGAAGCTTCATTGGTACCACCACGCTTGAGCTTGGACTGCAGCATTTCATCTGAACGGAATGGCGTCAGTGTCAGCGAGCAAAGCAACAAATTAAGTTCGTCTTACCATAACGTCTATCAATACTGTCATGGTCAAAGCTAGCAGCAAATGCTGGGGTTTGCTTAGGGCCTCGTCCTTTCCTAGCGCCACGCCCTCTACCACGTGCGCTTCCCCCACCTCTTTTAGCAGGCGATTTCTAAACTATGTATCATATCTAAAATCAGCCGCTAATCGGATAGGCAAAGGGACTCACAGATGGAATACTATTGAGCGCTTCAGCTCCGGCAGCAAGCAACTCATCAGCCTCTTCGTCGTTGAGCTCAGACAATAAGAGATCAGTAGCAGAAGGCACAGGTGCAGGAATGTCGCTTATTGGCTTGTGAAGCAGTGACTCAACCTTCTTCGCAGACGTATCAAAGTCACTTCCGCTAGGCTCATCTAGCTGAGGTCCTTTTTCCGACGTCGACTCAGCATTGAGCAATCTTTCCAGCAAAACTGAAGCATGAAAAACAGTAAGTAAACAATCAGTAATATAAGCCTTTACAACTACATTAGGTGGGGCAGGTAAGAAACAAATAAATAGAAATCAAAATTGCCGCATCACCGATTTGAAAGATGATGAATTCCAAAGACTAACCACTTTCTTCGTCTTCCTCTTCATCGACGACCGGAACTCTCAGAGCCTTTTTCACTTCAGGAGCACACAATTTAGCAGCTTCAGCCTGAGTTTTGCTCGAAAGCTGAGCTACCACGTTTGAGTCAGACACTGAAAAAACATATTCATACGGAAGAATCTGCGATATAGGAACAAGCTACACACAAAATGCACATACTTATAGTCTTTACTAGCGCATACAGTCTTGGTACATATCTCTTTGAAGCGCTAGCCCAAACGACATGCTGAGCCTTTTCTTCTTGGAATTTGGCTTTCGTTGCATCTAACCTAAAACAACTCAGTCTGAAACTTCAACTAGAGAGAAGAATCAATGAACTTACTCCTTTTTATATCCTTCGGCGAGATTGAGCAACTTTTCGAAATTAGCAGTCTCTCTTTTCCTCTTATCTTGCAATTTCTCGCAGATGTCCAACGTTTTTTCGTATTTCACACGCCAGACACTGGCTTCATGTGCGTGCTTCTTGAAAAGTGATTGCATAGAGATACGTAAGCAATAAGTATGTGAAAAACTTCTTGCTCTTACTTTTCCTTCTTCGGCTGCCTTTGCCAAACTATAATAATCTTTCTCCAGGGACTCTAATTGTTCTTTCACCTGGAAAACTTTTTCAGCAGTGAACACGGTTTTTAGACAGCCTTTTTTCCATGCAACGGGAATGAGTACAAACCTTCGCATTCTCTTCGTCGCCAGCAGTAACCCGCGCTTTGAGCGTTTGCTCAGATCGAATGCTATCCTCAAGCTGGGTGGTCAAGTCTGCGTTGAGTTTCTTCAGCATTTTGATCTCCTAAACCCAGATAACGTTACGTAGTAATCTTTATGAAGCTGGTAATAAATTGTTTGAAGTTTAAAGTATTTATTCTCAAATGCAAATGCAGAGTTTTACGGTCATCATGTAAACTCACCGGCCTGAGCGCCTCTAATTCGCCTATGCGAGGAGAAAGATCAGAAAGCGCGTTCAGGTATCCAATGCAGTTGTCACGGAAAATGACGCAACGACTACATTTTGGCCTCAGCTAGAAAATAAGATTCTATCACGATCTCTATTGAAAGATAGGGACTGACCACGAAATCCTTCAACGAAACGTTCCTTTCTTCGCTCGACGGTTCCTCATCTTCCGGGGAATCATCCTGGTACAGTTCGTGAAACTCAGCGAGCATTTGTTCTGACGGAGCCTGAAACGGAGTTTGCATATGTAATCCACAGTCAATATCTACGCTAAATGATTAAAAAGGTGAATAACTCTATAATTTTGAATTCGCGATGTGGTGTGGATAGAATAGCCTGAAACGTACTGATTCGTATGTTCTAGAACAGTTCCAGCACAGCGCACAGCTCGAGCGCTGTGCTGAAACTGTTTCGGAGCTTACGCGTCAATATGAGCTCAGCATAGACTCGCTCAATCCAAACGACGGATGCAGACAGATAGCGAAACCTCCAAGTAAATTTTTGGCTTGAATCACCTTCAGCTTTCAATCACAAGTAAAGAGATGGTTTCTCCATATGTATAGAATTGAGCGTTTGAATGACAGGCTAAGCTTATTTTTGAGGTACTAAGTGAAGCAAGTGCTAATATAAGCATGAACTAACCCGAACTGGACGTGGTGATGGGCTCGACTCCGGTTCAGCCTCTCTGAAACACAAAATTCAATTTAAAAACACTACGTATGTGCCATTATGTGACATTCAAATCTCAGACCGAGGCCCAACGGAATCTTACAATGAAGCTCTGCGATGAATGGTTTTGTGATTACAAAATGATTGTTAGACAATCCAAAATACTGCTCCAATTCCATAAGAAAAGCCGTTGTTAGTTAATACAAAAAATTTGATTGGCAAATGAATACAGCAGTCTCTGTTCATCTGTTATGTCTATAGTATGACGCAACACATCCTGCAGCTACAGTCCAATCATTTCATATATGATCATATCATCAACTCCACGATTCGTGTAGAGGCGGGGTTTTGCCAACTCAAAGCGTGGCGGTTTTCGATAGCGAGAGAGTATGAAGAACAATGCTGTGACGTGGAGGTTTAACAAGTTCATCCTTAAAATCAGGGAAAGTCCGCAACCCGCCTCTACACGAATCGTGGAGACGATCGTACGTGTTTGAATAAAAGTCCCCTATGTCGTTGCCATCCTGAATTGACCAATGAGCGAAGCAAACGGACTCAACTCGCAAAAGAGTGCCGATTTATAGTCACTCATGATATAAGACAGGACAGAAGACATTAATAAAACAAGAAGCAACACTGACTCAATAAAATCATTCAACAGATGGGTGGTATATATGGCCATAAATCCAAGACTGGGACGGCGTAGGTGGACGTGTGCAGGACAATAGGCGGTTGCCGGACTTATTCGGTTTAACCGGTTCGGTTCACCACTTGCTGTTGGTCAATTCATTAATCTTATATATAAAGCTGAATGTCTGTTTGTATGTCTGTCTGTATGTCTGTATGTATGTACGTATGTTCCGAATAGAAAATTCCATTTCTGAATCGATCCGGACCAAACTTGGCACACATACACTACGGGCCCCGGCGGGTGTCATAGGCTACTTTTCGTCATCGATCGATATCGATTTTATCGATTTTTTGCAAAATTTGAGCTACGGGGCTGGGAGTTGGCACAGGGGGGTAATCGAGCATGCTGATCACCCCCGTGGGGGTGATCAGCATGATTACACCCCTCTGCCAAATTCCAGCCCCCTCGCTCAAATTTTGCAAAAAATCGATAAAATCGACATCGATCGATAACGAAAAGTGGACTGTGACACCCGCCGGGCCCGAAGTGTATGTGTGTCAAGTTTGGTCCGGATCGGTTAAGAAATGGAATTTTCTATTTGGAACATACGGCGGAGCCGGGTAAGCCAGCTAGTCTTATATATAATTCATTAATCTCTATATATATAAAACTCAAAGTGTGTTTGTCTGTTAATAAGTATGTTTTTTATACAAATCTTTCTGAGTGGACTAAATGAGCTGAAACTTTGCACACTTATGTTTTGGACCCCGGCGCAGAACATAGGCTACTTTTCGCGGCGATTTACTAGATCCTTCTATTGATTTGTTGATTTGTTTACTTACATCTGGGAAAATGAGGCTTGACATGCTCAAACCAATCATTTCGCCATGATCATGTAGTCAAAGGATGGTAAAGCTCATTTTAATCTCAATGTCGGAAAGATGCGGGCATTTCGTTTCAAAGCCCTTTTTGCGTAGAAGAAGCTCAAAAACGTAAGTATGGGTAACTTCTTCTTAGCTAAACTGGAGACCCGAGTGAAACCGGGACCGCCGGCTAGTCTTATATATAAAGCTGAATGTCTGTATGTATGTCTGTCTGTATGTCTGTACGTATGTGCGGAATAGAAATTTTTATTTCTGAACCGATTTGGACCAAACTTGGCACACATATACTTCGGGGCAGGGAGCGTGTCATAGGCTACTTTTTGTTATCGATCGATATCGATTTTATCGATTTTTTGCAAAATTTGAGCTACGGGGCTGGGAGTTGGCACAGGGGGGTAATCGAGCATGCTGATTACGAATATAATAATGACAGGGCCGGGCGGAGCCGGGTTTGCCAGCTAGTTTGACTAATAAGAGCGACCGGATCTGGCAGCTACCATAGGGTCATGTGAAATGGACTAAGTGGCTTTTTTACCTTGTGGCCTAAACTTCAACCACGAGTTTGGTGCTAAAGATGTAGCGAGTTTCAAATTGTTCTGAAGGTATAAATCAACAAGTTTAGAGTGGAACGGTTGTTTTTTCGCTATAATTACGCACAACCTAGCCCTTTTCTCTTCGAAGGACAGATAGTGTTATTATGCTGATAACAGCATAGAGTTTCTTGAAGATGACAATAAGTCAGGTCCTAACATGCGCAGCGAAGCTTCCGCAGAGTCGTGATGTGTGCACAAATCCATGGATCACCAGCGAATTTAAAGGCAAGAAAGAACAAGGCTTGATACATACCTGGCGTCAAGTGTCTATATGTAGCGGTGGCAGCAACGCCACTCAATTGATTGCAATAAATTGACGCTGCTGCCTCCTGCTGCAGCAGCTAAAAGTCGTGTCGCGCTGCGCAGCGGTGCCCAAGCTGATCAGCGCTGCAACAATTTTTGCAGCTGAGTTACGCTCATTTTTTCTGAGCGTGTCAGCTGCTTTGAGCTGCAAACAGCTCTTTTACTTGAATCTACCCATTTTTCTATCAATTTTCAATCCACAACTAGCAATATCAAAACAAAATTCGTCACTCTGGCATGAGCAAGTCAAGAATGCGGTGTAAAACCATTGAACTAGAGTTTTGAAGGCAGTGGGAAAATAGCGAAAAGTATCAGAGAAACCAACTACATATTGGCGATAATTTCAATGTCGAAGAAGCTGACGGTGTAATGTGATAAAAGCGTGCCTCCAGTGGAGTGGGCCTTGATCATGTCATTGTCTCTCATATTGCTGACAAGGGAGGTTCACTTAGTCGAAGTGGCGATTCGGAAGGAGATCTATACCAGTGGATAGAGCTTAAAAAGCTGATCTCAGATATACCTTCTATATCTGCGATGCGTCGTTCTGAAAAAAAGTTATGAGCTTTTCTAAAGCCAAATTTTCGTGCATTGTGAGTCGCAAAATCATGATAATCGCTACACAAAAGTGTGCAAGCTTGAGCAAACCACCTAGTAAGCATTGTAGATCTAATTCGAGTTCATCCAAACGCTTTCGGATATTTCTCGACCATGTTTTTCATTTACAGGTCGTCAGTTCATTCCTATAGTCTGCCCCAAACGGGATCAGGCCGAACCATCGGCTGAAATTGCGATCGCTCACTCCTCAATCGCTCGCAGCGCTAGGGGTTTCGCTGCACACGCGCGCTGTCGCAGAGAGCGAAGAGATTGAGGAGAGAGCAGACTAGCTAGCCGCAGAAGTGGCGCGAAAACCTCGCGACGTGGACTCCCGCCATGCCAATTTTGGCCTGGTTAGGATTGGGGCAAACTGTAGATCACACTTCCATTATGTATACAAAAGAGCCCATAGCCTCCATCTAGAAGAATGTGTCGCAGATATTGAAGATATATTTGAGAACATCGTTCTACGTTCTATCCATTTGTACTTTCCAAAAAGTTTCTGACGCGACGCGTTTTTTTAGATGGAGGTTATGGGGCTTTTTTGTACACATGATGGAGTGTGATCTGGGAATGAAATGACGACCTGTGGATAAAAACATGGTCGGAAAACACTCTAAAGCGTTCGGATGAACTCGACTTAGATCTACAATGCTTATTAGGTGGTTTGCTTAAGCTTGCTCACTTTTGTGTAGCGATTATCATGATTTTGCGACTCAAAATGCACGAAAATTTGGCTTTAGAAAAGCTCATAACTTTTTTCAGAACGACGCATCGCAGATATAGAAAGTATATTTGAAATCAGTTTCTTAAGCTCTACACACAGGTTTAGATCTCTTTCTGAATCGCCACTTCGACTAAGTGAACTTCCCTTGTGAGACCATTGCCGTGATAAGAGTCGAATGTAATAATTAGTACACTCAACCTGCTTTCCTCAAAAATGTTTGTAGATGGTTAATACCTTCTTTTGTGCTTTGAATAATGAAAAATTGAAGTGAAGAACTTCTTAGGAAAGTAGACTAATGATTCAGATCCGACTCAGAACATATGAGCCAACCCCTCCTTTTTGATCTAAGGGATCGTTCACACCGCGCACAAAGGCGCATAAAGGCGCACGAAGGCGCAGGAAGGCGGACGAAGGCGCGTGTGAGTGATTGTGCGTGTCGAGATAAACGAGACGAGACAAGACGCGCCTCCGTGCGCCTTTGTGCGCGGTCTGAACGATCCCTAATAAAATTTGACGATAGCGCGGTTATTTTGAGCGGTTTTTGCACTCACCATGCACGCAAGAAAACGATTAGCTTGAAGCAGCGCTGCCTTCGCTGCTCGCTGGTTTTTTCATACCTATGCAGCGAGGTATGTGTCAAGGCTAACAAGCGCACTAACATCTATCCAACACGAACCTATTAATAATCAGACGCAGAAACTGTAGGAAGCTCTCTCAAAATGAGCGTGAGAACAGACCATGCCTCAAACGAAGTCCTTCAAGAACAATATTTGAACTGGTGTCTACCCGTCAGATCATAACAAGGTGCTATGACGAGCAAAGCTAAATAGCAATTTAATCGTTGCTAATTTTGACATCCTATAAACCTACGACTCCCCCTCCCCCCCCCCCCCCCCTAACAGGATTCGACAAGGATGAATGGACCGACCATGAACTTCAAAATCCGTGCTACGCATTTCTTGTTGTTCAAGAAAAGGTTTCAACTCATTGGAAGAATTCTCTAGAAAAGCTCCTGGCTTCTACTAATTCATCACGTTCTGAAAGGCATAGAACACTAAGAATGTCAAATTTAACTTACGGAGGGACACTTGCTGGCATGTCGGCCGCCATTACGAAATCCGAAAGCGACTTCGAACTTGTCCACTTTCACCGCTATCCTCTGTAATTCAAACTAAATTATGAAGCGCTCACTCAACCTGAATAAAGCAAACGTCTATTCTCAACAGGGTAAGACTTCTACGACGAAAAACAGCTGGCAATAAAAAGATCTGAAGCACACCGGTGCCGCCGGCCGGCGGCAGAATTTTTGAATGCGCTACCGTACTTTCACATTGATTCGCACGTTGCGGAAAATTGCCAAGATTTTAGGCCTCGCTGTCATTTTGTATTTTTCAACATTTGACGAAGTTGTTTCATCGTCTACTTTTCAAAATAAATTCTGCTCATCATCTAATTGTGCTGTGAAGTTCCAAAATGCTTAAGCTATATGTTTCGGAGGGGTTCTTCTTGTTGGCTGTTCATACTTGTCATTCCTGGCGAATGTTCTCCTGTATCCTACTAACTCTTAAATCTTATTCACAAGTGGATTTTTGAGCATGCCGCCTTCAGTATTACCTATTGTAATAACTGCTCTTTGCTTTAGTTAGGGGACTTTCACTTCATTTCTTGAGTTTTATTGAGAGAGGAGCTTGTTCAAAATTGGGTCAATTGGCGGAAAAGCTCTCTGGCAACTTTGTGAACTTAGGTGAATCAGTCATTCAGGACAGATCATGTATTTGGCCGAAATTTTGCTCAGAGGACGATTTGGCACGGTGATCACGAATGTCACGTTAAGTATGATCGACTCTCAGATTTATAAACACGTGACAGGTTTGACAGTGACTCGTTGGGTTTAACTTTATCAGTGTTGTCAAAAGTCCGCAGTTTTTGCCTTAGATTCTAGGAGTGTTGATACCCACTGAGCGCTTTTTTCATTGGATGTACAGATGTGTCAAACTTTGTCGCGGGTTTTTCAGCTTGCTGATTACGATTACGACATCTGTTGTGCCCGCAGCAAACTTGATCCAATTGATTTATTTGATCCGCTTGATCCACTTCGTTGTGGTCACTTACTGGTCTGACCAATAGCGAAGTGGATGAATTGGATCAAGAGGATCAAGTATGGCGTGTGCCTTTTGTAATTTTCTTCACATAGTAGAACCCCCAGACCTTGACCGTTGGGCAAATTTGTTGACTAATTTACTGTAATCCATCGCAATCGGAAATGGCAGTGGTGTCGAATAGAGCCCCTCTGGGCAAAGTTTCAGTTTCTTGCCATTATGCCACTACTTCAGCGTTCCTTCAATTCTGTTCCATCTATCCCCTGAATAAGGGATCTGTAGAGAACTCCACTCGTAAAGTATACTTTCCACTAGAGCGTGGATGGAAATATCGAGAGTTTTGAAGAATCAGTGGCTTGTTATTCTGTTCTCTGCATTTTATCACTCGTAGTACACACAATCTCAAATGCCGTGCATATTTCATTTCCATCATTTTTCTGGTCCTCTGCATAAATATGACAATTTCAGGGTATACCATGGTAGCTGTGCATAAGCCTGTGGCTAAAAACTCCAAGAGCGCCAAGGGAGCCAAGAAGGCTCTTCGCAAGAAGAAGGTCCATCTCAAGTTCAACATCGAATGCAAGAATCCTGCTGAAGATGGCATTTTCAAGACCGAAGACTTCGTGAGTTACTGGTGCAAGTCACCGCCATAAAGTCGACAGGGTTTCCGTCCCTGTCGCAGTATTGGGCTTAGGGTGTTCACGGTCCCTAATAAGTCCCAATAAAATTTCAGGAGACTTTCCTCAACGAAAAGATAAAGATTAACGGAAAGTGTGGTCAGCTTGCTAATCATGGTGTGAAAGTAGAATTGAACAAAACCAAAGTTTCAGTTATTGCTGACATTCCATTTTCAAAGCGGTAAGATAGTTTGTTTATTGTAAAGTTGTGGACTTATTCCCCGTTTGCAGTTACCTCAAGTACCTGACTAAGAAGTACCTCAAAAAGCACACTCTTCGAGACTGGCTCCGTATCGTTGCAATCAACAAGAACACCTACGAATTGAGGTACTTCCACATCAACCAGGATGAAGATGAGGGTAGCGATAATGAGTAAATGTTGTTATTCAATAAATTGTTATTGTTTTTTGTTTGATGAAGGAAGTCGTATAAGAAAGTTCATGGTTTTATGTGATCATGCGTTGTGCGCGTATGAAAAGGCATAGATTTGTATGAGTTGTAGATTCTACGATAAAGAACACTGAGGGACTCGAAATCATTACAATGTGGGTTGCTCACAGGTTAAAAGCTTCCTGCGATTTTCTGGGGTGTCTGTCAAGAGGCGCGATTTTTATTGCCAGATGGACACTAGCCATAATAACTTGTTTTATAACTTTCCAAAAGTATTTAAAATTTAGAAGAAGATACATTAGATGGTCACATGGCTGGTTCACTCTCAATACCTTGGAATCAGTTCAAAACATCAATTTTGAAGGTCAGTAACCCTTGGAAATGCAGCTAAGAACAGTTCCGTAGATATTCCGGTCCGTTTTGAAGCAAAAGCCACCAAACTCAGCAAGTGATAACCTCAAACGGATGGTAAACTAATGTACTTATTTGCGATCTGGATATCATCAAGAATCAACTGCTGCAACTGCCCATAATTTTTATACTTTCATCCAGGCCAGGGGCGGATGAAATGTGCGGTATTTAGCAATCCTCATTCAATCCTCTGATGCCTGTTCGAGAACCTACTGTGGAGAGCAGCACGCCAGCAATGCGAGCGGTGCATATCAAAAACGCTTGCTGGCGTAAACTTTGCATATCGCAAATACATAATAACCCGTCGTTTTTCATTGTTATTTTTTCTTCTTCCGGTCCTCGAACACATTTTTGCAGTCACATGCACATTTTACCACTCAACAAGCAAAGTGTGACAGAGGATTCAGGGTCATTTTTCTTGGAGAGTGCTAGAAATGTCCAATTCGTCCTAAGTGTCAGTAACAAGCTGGCATGACAGCCCCTCCCGCGTTGAAAATTAAATGGCTCAAACAAAGCGCGAGATTGGCGCACAACTTTCAAAGCTCAACTCGCTGTTTGGCTTTTCTACTTCTCATGCAATAGTAGACTACGTAATCGCATTTGAATTAGCACATCTTCTCATCGTGGAATGGGAATGAGTTCTGCCGCTATGGTTTACACAAAAGTTGAATGTGGTCTGATAATAATGAAAAGTTTTTGAGTTCATTTTTTTTTCAAAATCGATAAATCAGTATATAAGGAGCGGGAATTTCGCGCGAAAAACCTGTGGGGTGGGCCGGCGTCAAAAATATATGTCTGCGAAGTTTCGCGTCAGTTGCTCTACAGACAAAAATTTCGATACAGAACACTAACACCAACAATTTATCAACACTCAGCTTTATATATGTATAGATTCGTTAGGTATTTTGTATTGTAGGACGATTTATAGCAGTGGGATAAGGAAATGCAGTGATGTTTCAAAAAGTCTTATTGTTGCTCAATGAGAACAATGTATATCAAATGACATGAAATGGAAGGCTGGATTGAATCACATCAATTGTTAGAGGTTCGCATCACACTCAAACTGTCTGGATCTCACCTATGACAATGCGTGAGTTCAAGGGCGCGATCTGGCAAGTTTGGCCATGTCGGGCCCGATCTCGACAGATCGGGCTCTGCTGCCCGTTCAGGCCATGCTAACCAACCTCAAAGAAGTAACTTCTTGGACGCTTTCGCCCGCCCGAGCCGTGTACAACAATGGACGCCCCGAACAGCGAACGGGAGATTGACAAATACCGCCCCAGGTGTTCGATTCGCAGAAATATCGACAATCCGATGATCCAGTTGGACGCTATAGAAAATCGTCGACATCTTACGAAGGGTCGAATCACCTGCTTCCTAAGCCTAATGAGGAGACAGATGCTGTACCACATAGAAACATTCACATAGAATAGATATATTCGATTCTTCACGAAGAGACAGAGGCGATGGCGTCCCTGTCAGACTCGTCATCGCCGATCCTGTAAGTCTCTCTGGTCAAGATTCTCGCATTCCTCTTGTTGTCTGCCGTCCTTTTCACACTCGCACCATCTTGTCGGACGAAACAACGTCCAGACACTGTGTATGATGATTTGATTGCACACAATTGTAAAGGCTACTGCATGACGAAGGCGCAGAATCAGTATTAGTTGAGCGAGCGCGAACGCGATGCGCGCGTATCCTCACCGTTGTAAATCCTGCGCCCCATGCGCTCTGCGGCTAGTAAAGCCGCGTTCGCACCGAAAGATAGTGTGCCTTTGTCATGCAGCAGCCTATACATAAATAAATGTGATCCTCAGCTTGAATGACTTTTTATACGATGAGGATAATACGAGGTGGGAATACTTGCGTTAGATGCGAAGTTTCGCAACTCACATAGAGAGGGGCTGGGGGGGGGAGTATCATGACGTCGCTGGTCTAAGGACTCTTGGCAGGGGAGGAATTTTTTTCACGCTAGCCATATTCTTGCACCTAAGTGTGTGCCTGCCAGGTACCTCCGGGCTCGCTAAAATTACGAGCTCCTCAGGAGACCAAAATATGCAAACCCCGCCCTCTTATCAGGTGTTGCTCCAAATGCTGAAACTGGAATTCCAAAGAAACTTTCAAAAACAAAGGTCAAAAGTAATTAGGTCCAATCAACGCCAAACTTCAGATTTAGGGGTTTTCGAGGTTGCTCTTTTCAATAGTAAGATTTTTTTGTTGCAAAGTCAACGTTCAGAACCGCTAGTGCTCATACAAGTCAAAGTGTTCGGATTTGGTTTCAAAATCCTTTTTCGAATTAAGACCGATGTTCATATTTACGGGTTTTCGAAATCGCTTCTTCCATAACGATATATGTTTTGTGCAATATCAAGAGCGAATTGATTTTTTCAACAATTTTTTGGAGACAAATGTTTTTCCTGTAGAAACCTAATCACTTTCATAGAATTAAAATGCAGGTGCAGGAATACGTATGTGATTCCGTAGTGTTTTCTTTCCCTGAATTCAGTCTTAAAATGTCAACGTGTAGCGCTGATAATGGCCCAACCAAGTACTTCTTGGAACCTGGTATATCAGAGGTCGCTGAGGTTAGGCTGGCTCTATGCCAGAAAGCTTCATAGCGAACCTAGAAAGATTCTCCCGCCATTTCTAAGAAAAATTCGGGCTTAATTGCTTTCTGCTCTTGTTTGCCTGAAGATAGTTCTGGTCATTACCAGGGTTGAGCGCGGGGTTAGGCGCGCCCGACCTGGGGGGTCGTGGCGAAAAGAGCAGGGGGAGGAGGTCATAATAAGAAGCGGATTTGTTCAAAAAATTGAGGAAATGCTACGATCGGGTAAGGTGAATGAGAAAAGCACTTGACCTTGAATCACACAACTCCACCAGAGAAATGACTGTCGTAAAAAGCATGCTGATTTACTCGACTAAGGATGTCTCAGTCAAATTTCAAGTTTTCATCTTACCTTACACATACCGTAAAGTCACCAAAAAAGCTTTTTATGTAAATTGAGTATGATTTCCGTAATCACCATGCCACATCACCTCAACGAGCTCTACAGACCATTACTCATTACGTTTTAGTGTTTCCTAACATCTAAACAGCATGATTTTCAAACATGATTAACTTGGTCACAAAAGTGAAAGAAGTCAGCTTTTTTGTATTCATTACGAAGTATTTCTCGTCATCAGTCAATGGTAGAAACTTGACTTCGTATCGCCTCAAAATAATGATTGAGAAGTGTTGACAAAATTTTAGTCACCGCGTTTCTTACCTTGAGTGCTTCAACTCCACCGATCACAAAGCCAAAACAAGTCGAGTAAGCTTAAACACCTAATCTAGAATCTTCGAGGTTTATGCTAGCGAATCATATAAATCTAGAGTGGAAAAGCTTTTTCGGTGATAAAGTTAATCGGGTCAGGCGTAACCCCTCAGAAGCTTAGGCTGCCTGAGCTTTTAAGAGCTTGCGCCTGACCCCCTTAAAGGCAGTGGACAGGCAAAATGGACCCCTGTCAGATTTTGGTAGTTTCGGGTAGTGGACCCCCCAACTACACCGTAGCCCCAACCCCAACTTCCAATTGATGCGCTAAGTCCTGAAAAAAGCTCTTCAAACTTCCACCAATAACGCCCACTCAATGCAAGTGGGCGGGGCTGGTGGAGTTTTGAAGCGCTTTTTTCAGGACTTAGCGCATGAATTGGAATGTGGGGTTGGGGCTACGGTGTACTTGGGGGGTCCACTACCCGAAACTACCAAAATCTGACAGGGGTCCATTTTGGCTGTCCGCTGCCTTTAAAGGCAGTGTCCGGGCAAGATGGGGGTTTTGAGATTTCTCTGCCATGTGAGAATGGCCCCCCTGAGACACAACATCGCGCAACTGCGAGCATAAAACGTTCGACCTAAAGCAAGAAAAACAATTGCAAAGTGGGGAAACTTACGCCTCGGGGCGGGGTCCTCCGAGCTGTTTGACCTGCCAGACGGCAGAGTACGTATGCCGCCACACTTAAAAACCGTGCACTCTTTGCAACTCTGCGTCTTAGCCTGGCGGGGATCCTCAAATTTCGAAATGTAAGGGCTTGGAAAATGCATGTTCTCGCCGTTTTCGTGCTTTCTGATATGGATTTTCGGATTCAGCGTTGCGGATAACCCCAGATAAGTTGATTTTTTAAAAGTCGAGTTTCTGCCCGGACACTGCCTTTAAAGGCAGTGTCCGGGCAAAAACTCGATTTTGAGATTTTGTGCTTATACGGGCCTATTCGCCATGCTGAATCCGAAAATCTACATTGGAAAGCGCGAAAACGGCGAAAAAGGGCTCTAATACAGGAGGGGAATCAGCAGGTGGGCGGGGCTTTCCCCAGTGCGATTTCACGCCCCCAGCTCCCGAAGCGATTTCCTCGATTTCACTAGCCGTCCTAACATCTCTACCGGCCAAGTGCGGATGATTGACTTGAAACCGGAAGCGAGAAGGTCGCTCCGAAAGCGGGGAACGTGAATTCGCAGTGGAGAGGACCCCGCCCACCTGCTCATTTCCCTCCTGTGTTAGAGCCGTTTTTTGCCATTTTCGCGCTCTAAAATGTGCATTTTCGGATTCAGCGTAGCGAATAGGCCCAAGTAAGCACAAAATCTCAAAATCGAGTTTTTGCCCGGACACTGCCTTTAAAGGCAGTGTCCGGGCAAAAAGTCGATTTTGAGATTTTGTGCTTACCCGAGCCTATTCGCTATGCTGAATCCGAAAAT